CTTATGTTACTGGGTGTATAGAGGAGGTGAGGGGCGGAAGAAAACCCGGCAGATTCTGTAGACTTGTCTGCGAGATCTTAGAGGAAAGACTGAGGCAGGTCAGGAAAATCAGGCCGGGAAAACACCAATCAGAGAGGAGGTACAAATTTAGGTAAGAAATTTTATTGCAACTAATTAGAAGGACCTAGCTGGTTTGTAAAATAACTTAATATATTAAAAAATTTTATTTTAAGATTAATAAGATTAATAAAAACTCATTTGTACTAAACTAGCAGAGAACTAGTTTGAACTCTGTATTCAAAATTAATAGAATTATATATAAAAGAAATGTGATTAATTTTAATGTATTTATATAAGCCTTAAGGGTTTTGAAATGTACTTAAATCATTCCCGTTTGATAATTATAGTTTTTATCATAAATTATAAACATTTTATGTATATTTTACAAAAAACAAAGTTTTTAATATTTACTTTTTTACTTAATTAGTATTGACAACATTTTTATGCTTCAATAATTCAGTTAGGTTACCTTTCGCTCCGACTTGAATTAAATCAAGCATGTCAACCAAGCCCTAGTTAGTGTATTTAGTGAAAAGTAAATACGGAAGTCTACACCCGATGTATAACCTGGTATATAAATATCTATATACATGCAAAGTTTGCCGTAGTAAGATGCACTGACAACAACAAAGATGAAAAACAAAAAACACACATTCAACCGCATGGTAACACATGACAGAGCAACAATAGAGAAATAAAAACACAGGGAAACAAAACAGACTGTCATAAAATGCGACACCTGTTTAAAGTTGTGGAAGTCCCCCCACCCCCCATTGACCACCCCCTCTTCCTTGTGGCCCACCTTTTGAGTTCTTTTCGTGTGTTTGCAATGCATTTCGTTTACCGCAATTATTTACTTTGCCTAGATGCGGGCTCTTCAAAAGGTAGGAGAACCAAATGTGGAAAGAAGATTTCCTCACAAGCTACACTTTGAAAAATTATATTACAGCAAGTCAATCTTTCATAACTCGAAATCTCTGTAAGTCAAACTAGTTTTAATGCAAGTAAAATGTATTCTACTACTCCAAGTCTTGAAAACTCAAACTTATTTTAGTGGCAGACGGAAGTTCGAGTTATGGAAGTTAATGGGTGTATAATTGCGTGGCTAACGGGGTAAAATGAAGAGAAAAGACATTTTTATTTAAAAATAGAGTAGTACTATATTGGTAATACTATTAACTTTAATGTTCTAAATAGTTTCTCGTATTACAGTAAAAGCTTATTTAATAAATAAAACATTTTTTGTATTATATGTTCAAGAAATCTCTATATTAGAAATATTGAATTTTTTAGTCTTTGATTGATCAAGCTTGAATATAAAAAAAAAATCACAAGCTTTAATAACATTTTGTACCAAATATTCGTTCCACTTATTGATTAACATATAAAATCCATTTTTAGAGTGTATAACCAAGTAGTATAAAGAAAACTTAATTGATAGATTCTTATTTTTTGGTGCATTGAACCGGCGGCACAGGTGGAAGAAGAGGAAGTTGAAGAAGCGGCATTTGACCCAGTTTGATGGAATGGCATTTGAATGCATTTCCATTTGAGTCGCTCATTCAGTCAGTCGGTCGATCAACGAGTGTTTTCCAGGTTGTTGTTTAAACCAATTAAATGTCAATTGGCGACGTCATCTGGCTCTTCAATCAGCTATTCATTCAACCCCTCCTGAGAGCTTTTCTCACCCCCGTCTAAACAAGTTTCTGCCACAATTGAATTCTTTTATATTCTCTTCATTTATGTATGTATGTTCTTTTCTTTTTCTTCTTCCCCTTTTCATTCTTGTTCAGCTTTTGGCACAATAACAATAATAGCAACAACTGGCATGAGTTCTCTCGTCATTGCCTTGTTTATAAACAAAACAAAAAATCGACGTGAAATAAAATTAAAAGAAATACGAAATCTTTTTATTTCAACTTGTTTACCTTGAATCTCAGTGAATTGAAGTTCAAGCAATTAATTACACTCAATTTTAGCTACAGTTTTTTTTCGTTTGTTCGCTTTTGCATTTATTGCATTTGCCTTAATACGTTTTTTAAAAGGGTTTTCAATATAACAATTAAAATATTAATGACTTTTCGCTTCAATTTTTTAGGGCTAACAATTGGAAGGGAATATTTAATGGCAATCAATTAGTTTAAATTATATGTTGAGATTGGAAATAATTAAAGTATATGTACACAAATATATGTATGTATAAATAAAAGTTTACATTTGTATCCATTTGTGAATTATTGCTTTTATGGCTTCTCAATAATTCAATTAAAATATTAATTACGATTATGGGTAAACAATTAGAATGCGGATTTCTGGCAATGAATGTTTGTAAATTATGTGTTTTCGACACCCAAGCTGAAAATAAAAAAATGCAAAACACAAGAAAAAAAAAAACATGACCAAAGCCGCATAACTGTGCCAAGGCAAAATATTCCAAGCCAGCAGCAAAATTTATTTCTTTCTTGGTTTTTTTTCTCTTGTATGTTGCCCAGTATTGTTTTCCTTTTTTTTGGCAGACTTTGCAAAGTGCAAATGTGAAACGAGAACCTCTAAGCTATGTTAAACGGAGGCCAAAATGAACTTAGGGGAAATGGACGCACTTGCAAACAAAAAAATATCAAATTACACTGAACAGCATGATGCAATCAGAAGAGGAAGCAGCTGTCCCTGCAGATTTCCCATCTATGCCCAAGTGGATCTCAGATTACTAAGGGAAAAACAGCAGATACATGAGTGCAAGATGAGCCACTTGTGGGGCTGAATATCCTGTAGGATAAGAATAAGGCAGGTGGTCCGGAAATAGTTGACGATGCCGGGCACTGTAATTAATTAGTCGGTGGCATAACTTCCTCAAACTCCAAAAACCACAAAAGCCTAGAAAATATGTGGGAGGGTGGGGAGAAACAAAAGCCAAATAGCAAATAACCCAAAACAAAAACAAAAAGTCAACGATGTCTCCGGCTGGCACGAACCTGGCTCAAACCCACAATAACAAAAGCGATGAGAGAATTGCAAGCGCAAAAACAAGGGGCCTTCCGAAATCAACAAAAACAATTGCGAATTTTCGCATTCGTGGAAATGGTACAACTGTCCCACTCACAAACACATTCACCAAATAAATAAATGAGCAAAAGTCGTTTACTTAATTGCCCGAAAATAAAGAAAGACGATACCTACTAAACTGTTTCAAATTGTATTCGAGAATCAATAATGTCAGGAATGCGTGACAGTTTTTGAAAAGGCCACGGAAATTAATAACACAATCATTTGAGTGTCACACCATTGACAAAGCTAACTAAAATTCATTTTAGTGATTCATTTTGTGATTTTACAAACAAATATTTAAATAATTCCATATAACATAGTCGGAAGCAATGACTTACATAAATAGTTTAATGTTATTATTATTGTTATTATTATTTGCGAGCAGTTAATTTTTTTTAAATAATTGTTAATTAATTTATTTATAAAAAAAATACAAATTCAATCATCAAATGTTAATACAAAACTATGTTTTATTCTTTATTGAATTTAGAAGTTATAAGATTTAGCCTATTAAACAGACAAATTAAAATACAAACAAATCAAAGAAAATAAATACGAATATTTTTAAATAATCTAATTCCAATTGAAATTAAACAAACACGAATTAATATGAAACAAGAAAGGAAAGCTAACTTCGGGCGGAGCCGAAGTTGATATACCCTTGCAGAATTCTCTATAATAATATTCTCCAAAATTATTCCTATGATGCATTCTTAATACTCATAAAAAATCCAAACTTCCTAACTTTAAAAACACCAAAGTTATGGCATTTCGAATCGTTCAGTTATATGGCAGCTATAGGATATAGTCGGCCGATCCTTATGAAATTTGGTAGGTCGGATTGATTGGCCAAATATAAAACCTGTAGAAAATCTTAACTTTCTAACTTTACAAACACCAAAGTTATGGCATTTCCAATCGTTCAGTTATATGGCAGCTATAGGATATAGTCGGCCGATCCTTATGAAATTTGGTAGGTCGAATTGATTGGCCAAATATAAAACCCATTGAAAATCCCAGCTTCCTAACTTTACAAACACCAAAGTTATGGCATTTCCGATCAATCAGTTATATGGCAGCTATAGGATATAGTCGGCCGATCCCTATGAAATTTGGTACGTCGGATTGATTGGCCAAATATAATACCCATAGAGAGTCCCAACTTCCTAACTTAACAAACAGCAGAGTTATGGCATTTCCGATCATTCAGTTATATGGCAGCTATAGGATATAGTCGGCCGATCCCGGCCGTTCCGACTTATATACTGCGTGCAAAGGAAAGAAGGGTGTGTGCAAAGTTTCAATTCGATAGCTTTAAAACTGAGAGACTAGTTTGCGTAGAAACAGACAGACGGACAGACGGACAGACGGACAGACGGACAGACGGACATGGCTATATCAACTCAGGAGGTGATCCTGATCAAGAATATATATACTTTATAGGGTCGGAGATGCCTCCTTCACTGCGTTGCACACTTTTGACCAAAATTATAATACCCTCTGCAAGGGTATAAAAATATATATGCAAGAGAAAATAAATGTGGTTCTTGCCAAAATATAATTTATTAGTTAAGAAAGTCGAAATTCTCGTAAGTAAATACAACTATCTTTGCGCGGTCTTGAGATCAGATAAGACGAGATCATTAGGGATTATTCCCACAGAAATAATATGGAAATGTGATAAATGTTAGTAAGATTACTCGAGAGTCTTCGTATACCAGGTTTTAACTACAGAACTAAACTTCTGCTCCCCTTAACTAGTTAGCATTCCCCAATTAGTTCTGGTTATTGCGGTTTTTCCCATTTTGCTAATTCCAACATATGAGAAAAACAGTGCTTTTCAAAGTTTTGCTAATTAGCAGCCGTTTTTAAAACAGTTAGCTAAGGCCACGCACCTGTTAAAATATATTTGCGTATCCAATTGGAGCAGACGGCTGACTTCAACAGTTAGCGGGACATGAATTTGGTTAAAAACAAAAAGAAAACGAACTATTTGCACTTGGCGAAAAGCCACAACACAATTGAAAAGTGCAAACACACACACGCGAGTATAGGGAGAGAGGGAGACGGAGAGAGCCGGCGGAGCGCAACAGTTAGACTTTGCTGTTGTTGTTGCTCTGTATATGTATTTGTTGCAGAACAGGTAGTTGCACAAAATATTGCCTAAATTCAGCTATTTGTCATTTATTTAAATCAATATGGTCGCACTTTCACTCAGATTATCATTTTGTGCATATCAAAACACTTTTTGCTTTATTTTTGTGTGTAAATTGTAGTTGTACGCGTGCGTAACGTTGGCAACGTCTTTAATTTATTTTTTTAGACTGTGATTTCGGTTTTTGACAGTGGGAAATACCACCGCGCGCGCTCTATCGAAAATATTAAAGTAAAAAAAGTCCAAGTTCCGGTTTATATTTTATTTTGGGTCCTAAGTGCACAAAGTTTAGTTAATATTTCTATTAAAATTCGATTCCACGCGCGCAGCAATAACAACACACGTCCACCTGTCTTGCGATTTTTAAAAACTATTCCGTTTTTTCCGCTGCGCCACCTCCAGATTTCACGAGATTCATAGAGGTGGGGAAACATCGATGTTAACGCATCGATGTTTTCAAAACGACGGTATATCGATGTATCCACTTCTAAGAATCAAATCAAATGGTTGATGTACGCGCTACCTTCGGAGTAAGTCCCAACTACCAGCGGAGTAAGTGTCGGCCAACAATCGATAGGCCTCGGTGTCTTTAATAACGGTCGCTGTATAAAAAAGTGGTGACCAACATCTAAATAAGAAACCATATAGAGGTTTTATTTGCTCTGCCCGGGCCTCTGCCAAAGCTCTGCTGAGAGCCATGTTCGAAGCTAACTTCTTCTAACTTCGGTTTCTCAGCACTTCTAACATGTGCGAAGCAAAAGCAATAAAATGGGAAATTCTCGCACCTATCTTTAGGAATAAGAGCGACCAGTGCAGCAATAAGAATTCACCATGGCCATCGATTCAAGCTCGATTCGAACAAATGAAAAACTCGCTTTTTCCCGTTTCTCCCCTACGTGGCATCACTGGCAAAGTCACTCGAGAGAGCGGGCAGAGCAAATGAAACCTCAATATAGCTTCTTACTCTATGCTCTATGATAGAGGTTTCATTTGCTCTGCCCGCGCTCTCGAGTGACTTTGCCAGTGATGCCACGTAGGGGAAAAACGGTAAAAAGAGAGTTTTTCATTTGTTCGAATCGAGCTTCATTCGAGACCCATGGTGAATTCTTAAAGCGATGAAAAAGCGATGAAAATGCGATGAAAATGCGATGAAAAAGGGAAGAATTACTAATGAAAATGCGATGAATTACTGTTGACAATGCAATGAATTCATCACTCTTTAATCAGTAATTCATCACTCTTTAATAGGTAATTCGTCGCATTTTCATTAGTAAATGCTGATTAAAGAGTGATGAATTATTGATCAAAGAGTGATGAATTACTGATTAAAGAGTGATGAATTACTGATTAAAGAGTGATGAATTACTGATTAAAGAGTGATGAATTACTAATAAAAGAGTGATGAATTACTGCTTAAAGAGTGATGAATTACTGAAAAAAGAGTGATGAATTTTTCACTGATTATCTCCTAGGACATGCCAATGCTCAATTCATTACTAATTTGTATGAAGATTCTTCGATTAATTATCAGCAGTGATGAATTTTGGTGATTCATCGATTAAAAGGTGATGAACGGTACTGCAGGGTCTATATAGTTTCTTACTCTATGGTATGGGTAAAACGTCTCGTCAGGCAGAGCGAACCGTTGGATTATACTTAAATTCTGCTTTGCTGTTTGAAGAGAGGTGAATGCATTGAAAGTAAACAAACTGATCTTCTGCAGAGAAATCATTGAAAGAATATGGATTATTAAGGATACCATCGATTTTTATCCCATCCCTGGGCTACATTTTCCCAATAATACAAAATTTCTACAAACTAAGCCATATATAAACACATTTTTTTAATTTTATTTATGACACATCGTTGCTAAGTGTTATTTGGGTTCTTTAAAGTGCTAATTGGATTTTTAAAAGTACTTAAATATCATAAATCTATCAATATATAACCAAGGCCCGCCAAATTTTTTGAATTCAACCCCTATTTGCTGTACTCTTCAATCGCACCCAGCTCTAACGGCGGTTGCATCCTATTCCTGGTCCCTCGCACATGTTTGATCAGCTGATATTTTCACCACACCGTTCAAACACTGGCGTCGGGCCGGCGTCGAGAAATCCACGGGCAGAGCAAATGAAACCTCTATATAGTTTCCTACCATAGAGTAAGAAACTATATAGAGGTTTCATTTGCTCTGCCCGGGCCTCTGTCAAAGCTCTGCTGAGAGCCATGTTCGACGCTAACTTCTTCTAACTTCGGTTTCTCACCACTTCTAACATGTGCGAAGCACAAGCAATAGTATGGAGAGTTCTCGCACCAATCCTTAGGAATAAGAGCGACCAGTGCAGCAATAAGAATTCACCATGGGCATGGAATGAAGCTCGATTCGAACAAATGAAAAACTCTCTTTTTTTCCGTTTTTCCCCTACGTGGCATCACTGGCAAAGTCACTCGAGAGCGCAAGCAGAGCAAATGACGGCTCTATACATTATTACTCTATGTTCTTACTCTATGCCCATAGAGTAATAATGTATAGAGCCGTCATTTGCTCTGCCTGCGCTCTCGAGTGACATTGCCTGTGATGCCACCTAGGCGAAAAACGGAAAAAAAGAGAGTTTTGCAAATGTTCGAATCGAGCTTCATTCCATGCCCATGGTGAGATTCTGCAGCTGGACTGGTCGCTCTCATTCCTAAGGATTGGTGCGAAAACTCCCCATACTATTGCTTGTGCTTCGCACATGTTAGAAGTGGTGAGAAACCGAAGTTAGAAGAAGTTAGCTTCGAACATGGCTCTCAGCAGAGCTTTGGCAGAGGCCCGGGCAGAGCAAATGAAACCTCTATATAGTTTCTTACTCTATGTCATCTGTAAAAATTAAATCGCTCCGCTCAGCGCGCTGGTATGCGCTCTATAGAAATTGTGTATTCTGATCATCCCGTAAATGGATGGTGTGGATCCAGGCTAAACCACAGATTAAGTTATGGTATTTTTTATCAGATATTTGCGAATCACAATTGGTATATTTCAGCGTAATATTAGTTTGTTTCCATGGTCATACTGAACATAAATGACTTATTTATGTTATTAAAGACTGTTTCGGGGCAAAAGGTAAATAATTCAGCCGTGTGATATGACGTCCATAGCAGGAGGCCACGGCGAGGCAAATCCGAACAGCTCCTGGCTCAGTGCCCGTGGATTCTGGCTGGCCTACCTGCTGGGCCTGCTGTCGGTGCACCTGCTCTTCTTATCAGTGCCCTTCGTCAGCATTCCGTGGGCTTGGACGGCCACCAATCTTCTCCACAATGCGGTGAGTGCCCGGAATGATCGGGTGTATCCTAATCATTCAATCCTAATCGCTCTGCGCCTAGGCCCACCTCTACTTCCTGCACGTCATCAAGGGCGCTCCTTGGCTGAGCACAGAGAATGACCCCAGCCGGCGATGGACACACTGGGAGCAGATCGACGACGGCGTCCAGATGACCACCACCCGCAAGTTCCTCACCGCCGTTCCAATCGTGCTGTAAGTGCATACCTAGTTTGGGTCAGCGATGGAGGAAAGTGCCTAGATATGTGTCCCTGGGGATTTTTTAGTTACTTAAGGGGGGAGCCTGCTTTAGAAGCTTCGAGGTCTTTTTTGGGAAGAAAAGAAATATTCGATTGAAACGATTTGTTATATATTTCAACAGTCTTCTCAAACTTGTTCATTAAAATATGTGTCATATTATGCCTGGTACAAGTATTACGCATGTGTCGTGCGGCGGGAAAGATGCAGGTCGCAATTTCTATCTTGAATAGTTTGGGTAGACATTTATGCAAAAAAATTAAATTTTTTGAAGCCTCTAAAGCAGGCTTTCCCCCTAAATAAATGTAAAAATTATTAAAGGTTTAATTTAAAAAAAGAAACATAGAATAAAAATTATAGAATACTTTATTTTTGCAAAAGCTGCAAGGGTATATAAACATCTGTTAACTGAGGGGTGTTGCTACCAATTTTGCTTAGATATATTACTCGTCTTTGGCCTTAATGACAAATACAGTGCCTCTTCGAAACAGTGAACTAATGAATTCCGAGGTCTACCAAACTGTTCAATGTATGGGGCGGAAAAGTTCATTTAAACGTGCTTACCAGTACAAAGAAAAGTATTAAAAATTAAATAATTAATTAAATTAATTACTCATTAAATTCATTACCCAGTAAACGGTCTTTGAGAAAGTGCTGGCAAACAATAAGATTATTTCCATCTCTTTTTATTCATAAAATATAATGATCATAATTTTATAACGATTTTGTTTTTACAGTTTCCTACTTACTTGCTTGTACACCCGAAACAACACAGAACACTTCATAGCGAACTTTATATCCCTTGTAATAGTCACGCTACCCAAGTTGCCGCAGTTTCATGGCGTTCGATTGTTCAACATTAACAAATACTAGGAGCTGTAACATCTGATTGGATTTATTCGCCTTGAAGAAAATGTATATAACTATAATGCTGGCTATTGTACTCAATTTGTAAATCATGTAAATATTCCTAAATAAAAAAAACCTGCAGATTAAAAATATTGATTTTCTGGGGAAAAAAGATTTATTGATAGCAACGCAGTGAAGGATACGATTCCAGCCATATAAAGCGTTTATATAATTTATATTTTTTGCTCTCGGTGCGAAATAAAGATTTTATGTTGTATGGCTATTTTGCGAGTTCATATTTTACGAAAAAAATGCATTCAAACAGTCAATTCTAAATGCGCGCCCAAGTAATTGGGCCGAGTGGGCATCACTGAACTCTTATCGGTGTAGCACAAAATCATCGGTTAATTGCCCTCTTCATATAGAGTCCATCCATTCGAAACGGTTGGGATTTTTGACAAATGTGAAACTCCGATTCCCACAGACCACATCTACCCATGATACAATAACATAAGGTAGTCTCGTCGGCAAATTTTGGTACCCTACTATTAAAACAATGAGTGCGAGTGAGATGGGAACTGTTTAGTAAGTGCGAACAGAGCGACAATAGAATGTGTGGATTAACCCTTTGAGAGGCCAGGAAGGCGTAAGGATCGTGTAAAAGGACAATGTCAATACCCAGATCTCCTCAACACGTATCGAAGTTGATGATAAGAAGGACTTTGGTAAGGATATTCACCCAACAGCCTTTTTTCAGGCCCTGCATGATGGTTTCTACAAACGAATTGAACCTAGAAAATATCAATAGATTTTAAAAGTCAAAAACAACCTTTTAGTGCAGCAAAATTTATATCTGAGTATGCCAATCGACTTTTGGGTCCTTTCAACCTTCTCGTATGATTAAATAATCCTTTCCCCAAGCAAAGAGTCTTTGTTAGAACCCTTTTCAAGCCGATGGATATTTTCTAGGTTCAATTCGTTTGTAGAAACCATCATGCAGGGTCTGAAAAAAGGCTGTTGGGTGAATATCCTTACCAAAGTCCTTCTTATCATCAACTTCGATACGTGTTGAGAAGATCTGGGGGCTGACATTGTCCTTTTATACGATCCTTACGCTTTCCTGGCCTCTCAAAGCCATGGATTAGCCAGTGTGCCCTGCATTTTGCAACTGCGTGGGTCCTTTAAAATGAAGCAAAGGACTCCGAATGGGAAAAATGGCTTCTGGGCATCCTTTCCCCAATGTTGACTTTCGATTTGCATTGATCCTGCTTATTAAATTTTAATTTTTGGACACATGCAGTTGATTTTATTTTTACCTTGTAAAGTCAAACAACTTTTCCTTTATTTTAAGGCAATAAAACAATTTTAGCTATACAATTAATCATTATACCATTAAGATTATAGAGGCAAATGTGATAATTAAAAAAAAGTGGCCAAATCGATAAAGTTTTAACAAAATAGTTAATTAAAACCCAAGTGTGCCAATAATTTTGTTCAGGCAAATTTGGTCTATTCTTTGGTTTTTTATTTTTAATAAATTATTTATAAAAGATAGTTTAATGAAGTCACTTGTATTTAACATAAAACAAGAGAGAACGCCATAGTCGGGTGCCCCGACTATCAGATACCCGTTACTCAGGTAAAGGGAGTGCGAGGGAGATGGAGATAGAAATTTTGATCACGCATAACTTTTTAACGAATGGTCCGATTTGAAAAATTTCTTCTACATTTCGATAGGTATTGATAAACACAATAAAACTGCATTTTTACTTTTCCGAAATATTTAAATTTTTAAAATCGTATATAAGCGATTGTGGGCGTTAAAGGGGGCGTGGCACCATTTTGAAACAAACTTGCGCTGCGTAGGAACTCCTAGAATCTGCCTGCAAAATGCCAATCTTCTAGCTTTTATAGTTTCCGAGATCTCAGCGTTCATACGGACAGACAGACGGACAGACAGACGGACAGACGGACATGGCTATATCAACTCGGCTTGTGACCCTGATCAAGAATATATATACTTTATAGGGTCGGAAACGCTTCCTTCTAGCTGTTACATACTTTTGCACGAATACAATATACCCTTTTACTCTACGAGTAACGGGTATAATTAATGATTCTATCTAAAAATATTTTGTTTTATTTTAATATCAGCATATGTGCCTTGCTGTGCCAATAATTAAGTTTGTCACTGTATATACTGCGTGCAAAGGAATGAAGAATGTGTGCAAAGTTTCAATTTGATATCTTTAAAACTGAGAGACTAGTTCGCGTAGAAACAAACAGACGGACATGCTTATATCAACACAGGACGCGATCCTTATCAAATATTATATACTTCATTGCGTTGCACACTTTTGACCAAAATTATAATACCTTCTGCAAGGGTATAATTAATGAATCAGAGAATCTATTAGACGGAATTTGGAGTCCTCGTGACCGATCTTGCTAATGGCAGTTTTAGTACAGAATACTTTCCTTAGAAATTTTAGTGTCCAAATATTTATAATGCCATTTCCAATAAGCCCGTCTGAGTAAAACTCTTTACTTTACCAATTTCCCTATAGCAGTGGGCATTTCATTAGCTAACATTGTATTTAATTTTGCGTTATTATCAATTTTATTGGTGGAAAAACTCAATTTTACTTTTACTTTTCTATTCTTTTTCGATTTGTTTACTTTAATCGGCTGCTCTTGCTACAGCGGTGTTTCGCAATCACTCTTTTAAGCAAAAGTGTATGGACAACATATGACAAATATAATAAAGTGGTATAGTCGGAGAAAAAATAGCTGCAATGATTGAGCCCAAAATCTACATAGTGTCATAATGACATATCCCTAAAAACGGTCATTATACATTACGTACTCTTAAAATTAATCATCTTTAAAACTAAGAGTGGCTTCAGAATTAGCATTGAGCAAAACATTAGTGAAAACATTAGATTAACACAATTCTGACAAACTATTATTAATAATAAATTTATTCATTTTTGAAATTTGTTTCTCTTTGCCTAGGTTATTCTACTTCAATATACGCCATCATGTATCAAGAAAAGGAAAGGTACTACTTCAGTCAGAGGTGGAGAAACATCGATGTTTGCGATGTTTTTAGGAAAAACATCGATGTTTAGAAAAAAAAATTTTTTTATCCCAGTTTAATTTTATTTAATGTTGGTTTTTGTTTCAAAACAACAGTTTGTCAACGACGGAAGATGAAAGTCGAGTGCGACGGCCGGATATAAGTTGTCCAGCTTTAAGCCTAGTATCCAGATCGACAAACGATTACGCTAGCGTAAAAACTTTAATCTTTCCAGTGTGACCAAAATTTTGAGAGTTCATCAGATTTAAGCGTGCTACGGTCGTACTGTCAATCAGCTGGGTTTGTTGACAAGCAGTTAAAATTCAAAAATCATATTTGCGGGAAAGAGCCTTTAAAAGATATTATCAAATACCTTGGCAAGACAAGTCTGCCGGTGTACAAAGAAATTAAAAAACAATACAATTTAAATTTAACAGTTGTTTTTTTTAATTTACTGATAATTATTTGCTAATTTAAAGTTCATAGCTGCACTTTTATTGTGTTTTTTCGTATATCCTGGACCTAAAAAACATTTTGCTCTGACAAGTGGCACCCCAGATAGTATTAATGTTATTTTGTCCTCACATGTAAACTCCTGCAATCGACTTTTGCGAGTTTTTTGAGTTTTTCCCTCCATTTTATAAAATGTTCAGTGAGAAGCGCACGCCAAAAGATTAAATTTTTTAATTTTTTCGCTAGGGTTTACCCAAAGTTCATTTCAGCAGCAACGCTATGAAATTGTCTGGTATTTTTTTCGTCGAGCTGAGTACCGACGTGAAAAAAAGGCCCGACGAAAAGTGAACGCCAGCTGTTTGCCTCTCCCTCTCTCGCATGACTGGCGTACGGTTTTCGTTGATCTGGATACTAGGCTTTAAATATAATTCAAATGAGGTTGGCTTGCCAAACATCGATGTTAGCGATGTTCTCAAAACATCGATGACATCGATTTTAACATCGATGTGTCTCCACCTCCAACTTTAATGCTCTTTTTTTGCTGATCATGATGGAAGAATTGTAGAATAATGATTACCCAATGATTAGCACAAGAATTTCGTATGAAATTCATCAGTGATCAGTGATCATGTTGTACTGCTGAACGCGGCTATTGATGTTTCAGTCTTGGTCACACTTAGAAATATTTTTCTTATCTCATTTTTTATTTAGCGGTAAATAAACACCTCATTATATTTTCACATTGACTACTGATATTTGTATTCGTTTGCTATCTTATCAGTGTTTACAACATGGAAAATCGGGAATTATTTTATAGTAAATCCAAATTACTAAAATATCTGAACAAAAATATTGAAGAGTGTATCAATAAAAAAAATCCGTTTTTACGAATAGATAAATCATACAATATCAACGTAGCGTTAAATAAAAATGGAATGAAGATAGACATATCAGAACAAGAATTGTCTCGGACAACGGAAAGCTATCTTGAGCATGCCCAAAAAAAGATAGAAAACTTTCAAAAAACAATTGCCGCACAAAATACCGAAATTTCGAATCTAAAAGATGAAATTTATAAATTAGAATATAGTGCAAAGGAAAACGATAAACATCTGAAAGACAAGATTGCCCTGCTGGAATACAAAGACAGGACAGAAGTCCGCAGTCCCAAGGTGCTGAGTAGTATAGATGCCCCCTCAAATAGCTCTGGTTGGACTGTTATTCAGTGTCGTAAAACAGGGCGAATTGATTTTATTACCGAGAGCTACTTATACAATGTCGGCTTTGGTGACGCGAACGATGGTTATTGGATCGGTTGCGAGAAATTGCACGGGTTTACGAAAACCCAAAGACATGAACTTTATATTGAGCTTGCGGACTCCAATGGAAGAAAATACTTTGCCCGGTACAATAACTTTGTAATAGGCAGTTTAGAAGAGAAGTATAGACTTAAGTCACTGGGAGAATACTCAGGAGACGCCGGCGATGCTTTGCGAGACCATGAAAATAATAACTTCGAGTTCTATAACAATTGGAAAGGCGTTTACAAATCATTTTCGTGGTGGACTGCTCCAGGTTTTAAGTGGTAAGAATATTTTTTATAAAATATATTATGTACATTTTGTATGTCAAATGGTTCTTTTACAGTAATTTGAATGGGAACTACAACATATCGAAGTCCAATTCGGAACCAATAGGATTTTGGTGGGGTGAAATATCTTCCCTAAAATATTGTAAAATGAGCATTAGACCAACAAAAGAGTAAATTAAATGTTATATTAACAGGGTTCTTTTCTTATTTCCTCCGGTTTTTATATTCCTTGCAGAACATATTATAATTTCAGTAGGATGTTTACAACGCAGAGAGAGCAGACAGTATTTATTATACCCGTTACTCGTAGAGTAAAAGGGTATATTGTATTCGTGCAAAAGTATGTAACAGGTAGAAGGAAGCGTTTCCGACCCTATGAAGTATATATATTCTTGATCAGGGTCACTAGCCGAGTCGATATAGCCATGTCCGTCTGTCCGTCTGTCCGTCCGTATGAACGCTGAGATCTCGGAAACTATAAAAGCTAGAAGATTGGCATTTTGCATGCAGGTTCTAGGAGTTCCTACGCAGCGCAAGTTTGTTTAAAAGGTGCCACGCCCCCTTTAACGCCCACAATCGCTTATATACGATTTTAAAAATTTAAATATTTCGGAAAAGTAAAAATGCAGTTTTATTGTGTTTATCAATACCTATCGAAATGTAGAAGAAATTTTTCAAATCGGACCATTCGTTAAAAAGTTATGCGTGATCAAAGTTTCTATCTCCATCTCCCTCGCACTCCCTTTACCTGAGTAACGGGTATCTGATAGTCGGGGCACCCGACTATAGCGTTCTCTCTTGTTTTTTGATCAGTTGCTACGAAAGGTATATTCTCAGTTATATAGTGACATATTCACATATCCACTTATGTACTAAGAAATAAGAATCTGCAGCGTAGGCGATCCCACGCTGAACCAATGTAAGCAACCACATCCGGAGCAGGCGATGCTGCATCCCAATAACATAAACAATTCTTGCAATGACTAAGTCCCGCTCTCTGAGTGGCACTCTTATTCTCAAATTATTATGTACAATCAATATCCCAAGCCGGCGATCTCGCTCGTCAACTTATGTAAACAAAGGGCAGCACAAGTAATATTTTTGTCACAAGAATTTAGTCTTAACCTGAGATCTATCGAATAAAGACGTGAAACTAATTCTTCGGTTTTTAATTCAACTTGGCGTTGTCCTTAGTCAACTGACGAGACATTAGTTCGACTCAACAAAATACAAACACTTAACTATATAGCTATCTGGGTGAAACTTTTACAACAATCTTTTTAAATACATGTAGTGAATAAGACGGAACGGGACGGATCGGATAAATATATAAAATTGCTGCCATAAGTTCAATCGGAAAATGCACTGAAAACAAGAAAGACAGAAAGATCGTCCGATTTTTATAAAAGTAACTTTTTTCAAAGTCACTTTTTTTTCCTATGGGAGCAATATAAAATAGTAGGCCAATTCTGCCGTTCCGACTTATGTATTACTACCTACAACAGAACGAAGACTTTTTGCCATGTTTTGTTAAAATAGCTTTAATAGCTGATCAAGAATATATGTACATATTTGTGGGGTCGAAACAAGTCCCTTTCACTGCGTTGCCAACATTTGACTTACAATTTAATACCCTCTGCAAGGGTTTGTTTATTTTGTTTAAAACTGCAATATTACAATACTAATTAATTGTAGATTAACAATGAACCCTTATTGTATTCGTTGATAGTTATGTAACAGAAAGCGTTTCGTTATCAGGATCATCAGGCGATCTTTGAGCTTCAAAGTCTCGGACACTATAAAAGCTAGATATTATAAATTGATTGCACAAATATCGAAAAATCTGAGGCACAAGAATTTCGTATTGTCTTAATAAATTTGTATTGAAAATCCCTTGGCATTTAGTAATTATCTTATTGGTCGGACTAACCATAGCGTTAGGGGGTATCTCATAGTTGGGGCACTCGAATGTTTTCTTCGCTGTCAGTCGCGCCCCCTGAGACTGTATATATTCTACTTGATTACGTTTACAGGGCAGGCTGTCTCCCCCCTTCGATAATTTTGACCGCCGGCCTCTTGTGGGCGGGTGAAATTGCTTGGGTTGGGCCGAGCAATCGAGTTCTGACAAGCTGATTGCCCGGTTTGACTTTGAGGGAGAAGCTCGCGACCCGAACGACTTTGGCTAGCTATAATCAGTAGTGAAATAGATGTAAACAGAGGTGTGCCGGATCGGCGCCATACAGATAGCCTGGTAGTTGCTGTCAACCGTTTAAAGGGGAAGGAACGAAACCAAGACCCACCGAGATGTCGATTACCCTAGAGGAGGAGATCTTCGGCCTGGCCGTGAATCCGTTCACCAAATCACCGGAAATGGTGCGCCGGTTCACGCTGAAGAACTCCAAGGGCATGTCCGTTTCGGTGATCCAACTGGGGGCCATCATCCAGAGCGTCTGTTTGCCGGATGCCTACAAGAAGGTGGACGATGTGTGCCTGGGGTTCGACGACATCGCCAGTTACGTGGCAAACAAGGTGTTTTTAAATCAAACATAGAGCGTTGCAAACAGTGTTTCAATAATCCATCATTTATAATGGTATTCTAACAAGGGCGCCTACATCGGAGGAACCCTCGGACGAGTGGCCAACCGGGTGGCCAACGGGGAGTACACGGTGAACGACACAAAGGTCGCGGTGACCAAGAACATAGAGGTAGATACTATCTGCGTTCGGGTTCTGTTGTTCCACGAACCCAAAACCAAACAAGCGCAATTAATATAAAAGTTTTCAACTTTCAGGACAAATTCCAGCTGCACGGCGGATTCGTGGGATTCGACAGCGTCATCTGGGAGGTGGTCCAGAAGACGTCCGAGGGGGTGGTCTTCCGGCACGTGTCGCCCCACGGACACGAGGGCTATCCGGGCAAGCTGACGGCGCTGATCACCTACCAGCTGGACAATGAGAACCGGCTGTGGGTCAGGTACGAGGCGACCACAGACCGCTCCACGATGGTCAACCTGTCGAGCCACGCCTACTTCAACCTGGCGGGCCATGGATCCGGAGCCAAGGGTCTGGCGGAGCACACGGTGGAGATTGCCGCCGATCACATCGTGGACACGGACGAGTTGCAGATCCCCACCGGGAAGCTGACCGAAGTGGACGACACCGTCTTCGATCTCAGGTTGCCGGTCCTGCTGCGCGATCGCCTGATGCAGTTCGAGGACCGACAGATCAAGGGCTACGACAACTGCTTCGTGGTCAACGGGGGACAGGTGCAGAAGGCCGTCGCCAAGGTGGCCAAGCTGGTGCATCCGCCCAGTTGCCGCGTGCTGGAGGTCTGGACCGACCAGCCCGGCATGCAGTTCTACACCGCGAATAACATTGGGTCGGTGGTTGGCAAACAGTGCACTCGGTATGTGAGGCACGGCTCTTTTTGCGTGGAGACGGAGAAGTTCCCCGATGCCATGAACCACCCGGAGTTCCCGTCGATCGGTCTCGAGCCCAACGAGAAGTACCGGCACGATGTCCTGTACTGGTTCAAGGTCGAGGAGTCCTGGAAGTGCTGCTGCAACAACGAGCAGTGAGCGTGAGCGTGATCGTGATCTCCCGTAAATAAAGCTTGACTATTCCCCTCGGTTTCAACCCCAAAGGTTGTTGTATTTTTAGGAATTTGGATAAACAAATTTATTTTTGTGCGGGAGGTAATGCCAATGGTATATAAAAACAATAAATACATTTATTTTAAATATATACATTTTTTTTATACGAATACTTACAAAAAAGAACATTCCTAATCAAAACGCTGATGTTCAGAAAACGGAAAAAAAAACTTTTGGTCTTCAAAATCCTCACCTATTTGCGTTTTGGAAATAGATCTATAAAATCTACCTGCCCAGTTTAAATCGGTTTTAAGTGGCCAAGAACAAAGGTTTAAACTTTAAAGTAAGCGGGATTCGTTTTATGATAACTGAGAATAGATTGCCTCGATCTGTCTATCAGTAAAGTGTGTGTGCTTTTTGAAAACCTTTAAGTCCTTCGCAAAAGCAACACAGTCTAAATTCCAGTTATCCCCTTTAGGCATTTGGCAAAATCCCCCAATCCCAGCGAGCCCTGCATCCACTTCAGGATGGTGCGAGTGATCGAGGACATGTTCGGCATCGCCGTCAACCCGATGACCCAGAAGACAGACCGGGTCCGGCGCTTCACGCTGAGCACGGAGCGCGGCATGTCGGTGTCGATCCTGACGCTGGGCGCCGTCATCCAGGCGCTGAAGGTGCCCGACTTCAACGGCAAGCTGGAGGACGTGTGCCTGGGCTACGACGACGTGGCGGGCTACTACCGCAACCAGCCGTACTACTTCGGGGCCACCACGGGCCGGGTGGCCAACAGGATTGCCCGCGGGCGCTTCCAGCTCTGCGGCAAGGAGGTGAGCGTGAGCCGGAACGTGTGGGACCGGCACCACCTGCACGGCGGGTTCGTGGGCTTCGACAGCGTCATCTGGGACGTGGTGGGCGTGCACAAGGACGGGATCACCCTGCAGCACATCTCGCCAGACGGCCACGAGGGCTACCCGGGCGAGCTGACCACCAACATTAACTTCTCGCTGAACGAGACGGGCTGCTTCGGGATGCGGATCGAGGCGCGGACGAAGGCCACCACGGCGGTGAACCTCTCGAACCACAGCTACTTCAACCTGGCCGGCCATGGGGCGGGCCGGGAGGCGCTCTACCAGCACATGCTGATGATCAAGGCCCAGAAGATCGTGGACGTGGACCAGGAGCTCCTCCCCACCGGCAAGCTGATGCGCGTGCGCACCACGCCGTACGACTTCTCCAGCCTGGTCAGCCTGGGCAAGCGACTCAACCAGGTGTCCACCTGCCCGCTGGGCGGCTTCGACAACAACTTCTGCGTGGACGTCTCGCCCAACCGGGTGCAGTTGGTGGCCCGCGTGGTGCACCCGTGCAGTGGCCGGTTCATGGAGGTGCACACCAACCAGCCGGGCCTCCAGTTCACCACGGCCAACAATCTGCCGGACGAGGATTGCGGCGACATCCCGAACGTGGGCAAGGACGGGGCCCACTACGTCCGCCAGGGCGCCTTCACCCTGCAGACGCACAAGTACCCGGACGCCATGAACCACTGCGACTTCCCCACGATCGTGCTCAATCCCGGCCAGCTGTACGACCACCAGGTGGTCTATCGCTTCGGCGCCTGCCCCAAGCGCGTTTAGATGGAGCGGTAGGAATGGAACATTCCTGGGGAATGGAAGCCCCTCCAAGAGAGGAACGGCAGGCAAAATTGCTCCTTCCATTTTGCCATTCTGAAATTTAATTAAAAGTGTGATTGTCAGGGCTAGTCATAGCTTTTGAAACCATATGGACACCTTAAATGATTAACGGCCAAAATGCAAATAATGCCTTTTATATATAAGGGCTTTTCGATTTGGATTCTTGTCCCAGTCTTCACAATTCAATAAACTTACTTTTCTTTTATTCAAAGTATTGCTCAGCATGAGTAAACTTATCTGATTTTAATTATTTTAGTTAAAGCCCGATTTCAGTTTGAGCTAAACGATATCCATTCCAAGGAAATCAAAAAATAACAGTTTTAATAGGTCAGTTCCCTTAGTTGTTTAGTTATAATCAGATCATTTTAAGTTATTCACAACCTTTTTGCAAGTCAGTTTTCCCAACATATGGTAAGCAACTAAATTGGAAACAAAAACTCAGGAAAGCCAAAGACTGAGTCCTACTGCACTGGATTACACATAGTAAAGTTGTGAACTGAATGCTCTTCGGGACATTTTCTTTTCAGATGGTCGAAAGCAAGAAACGCAAGTTTGGCCTGTGGCTAAAGTAGCCACCACCAGGAGTAAAATTGACGACCTTGTCGTGCTGAGATCCAAATTCGGATCCGTCAGCAAGAAACTCCTTTCTCATACGAACATGTTCACACGAAATGTTTTTCAAATAAGGTATGATACAAAAACATATAGATACATTGTGTCTATGGCCTCCTTAAAAATGTCGTTGAAGGAAGTAGCAGAATTAAGTGGAGTTTTAAGAACATGTAGCAGGATCGCAAAGTTTTTTAAAAGTAGGAATAAGATGTTAGCCTGGAAAAAAGGTTAAACGAGTTAAGCCCCACACAATGGAGAAAACTTTTAAAGAACTTGAGCGATTTTGACTACGAGGAAACGGAATTGATACATAAACTTAAACTTTGTCTTAAATGCTATTTTGATACAAGTTTTTTCGCACATAAAAAAAACCAAATTGCACTCTTCATATTTCCATCCAAATTTTTTTCATTTTTAACCGACTTTCATTACATTTCAAAAAGTCTACTTTTGACTGGCTTGAATTTTTAAAAATAACCCATTTGTATACATGGGTAGCACTGGCAGCACAAATTGGTTCGAGTCAGCGGTAACGTAATATCGAAGTTGTCATCCATGTCGTTATTTGTTTCTGTTATTATTATGAGCTTATTCTGATCGTACACTCGGTCACTCTGAAAAGCCAAATAATATAAATATATAAAGAATTTACGCTCCGAAAAGGAAAGGTGTTTTTGTGTGCCACGTTCGGAACTAATTGACAAAGGCCGCCAAGCTGTTCAACCTACCGCAAGTGTACAATAAGACGACCGACTCCAGCCGTCACAGCAGCAGCAGCAGCAGGATGCCAGTGGGTTTTGGTCCTTGAAAACGCCTCAAAATCGATTTGAATATTTTAAATCCCTAATTTTCCACCCCGTTCGCTTTTCCCGCTTTTCGCAGGTGCACGAATTTAAGGTGGAAATGACCTGCGGCGGATGTGCCAGCGCCGTGGAACGTGTCTTGGGCAAATTGGGCGGTACGTAGCATTAGTGACTGGTATTAAGTAAATTAATAGCTTCTTATCGGTCAACACAATGTATTTATATGTTTGTACATATGGGCATGCATGTATGTATGTAGGTGAATTACCTGAAGTAATTCTCCGTAACATATGTACATATTGTACATACAGATGGTAACATTTAAAGCCGTAAATGATTAATTTAATAAACGTAAGATTTTTAGCAGGTTTCTACAGTGGTTTAGGAAATAAATAAAAAGTTCTGGAAAGATCAAATAGTGTTAATATCAATTTTAAAATGTTTTATTTGTTTACTTCTGTAATAATTTTAATAACATTTATAAATAGTGTGAATAAAAACGTAGAAAATCTTTTTTTTTGTATTTTTTTGAAAAAATATTTTTTTTTTGCTTTGAAATTTGAAACAAGATTATAGAAAATTAAAAATAATAAAAGTCGAGTTAACATAACTCGAACCACAATCTCCCACAAAAAAAAGTTCGCGTATAGGAAGTTATGAAATCACGGAAGTTCGATGTATGTACGCTAGACTGTTTTTTTCTTTCTTTAATTTAAGTTTTTGTAAATTTTAGGTAATTTTGCAAGAATATTTCGTTAGTTTCAAAATGAAAACTAATTACTGGAAATAAAAAGGATAAATCAAAATCTTAATATCTTTATTTATTATAATCTTTAAATGTTCGCTATACATAAATTTAATTTTTTTTATTTACGGTAATTGCCCTAAAAACGGTATGATAGCCAATAATTCTTTTCAAGACAATTCCTCTAAAGTCATAATTTGCAAAAATGTTGACTACTCCTGAGCGTGGAACTGAATGTAGACAAATTTAAGTATAAACATGTTTTAGGATCAAAAGTAAAGTGTTTTTACAATATAATATATAAAAAGGTTATACACTTTTGAATTAAATATTAATATCATAATATAATTACAATAAATTATAATTTTATAAGGAGTTCAACCAAAATTTACTTTGTACTTTTTAGTAGTTCCCACCATTTCTTATCACTTGCGGTTTGCCTTCCGTTCGGTGGTTACCAACTAAAGTCTGTGTTTTTATTCCGCAGATAAGGTCGAAAAAGTCAACATTAACTTGGAGGACCGGACGGTGAGTGTGACGTCGAACCTGTCGTCCGACGAGCTAATGGAGCAGCTGCGCAAGACTGGAAAGAGCACCACGTACGTCGGTGTGAAGAAATGAGACGAGTTCCTCAGCAAGTTTCAGAAGTACGGCAAACTGAAACTTGAGGTCTAGGGTCTGGACTCTAGAGGATTGAGGGATCTTCCACATTGCCGCTCCGAAAGCATTCGAGTTGGGTCGCTGTTCAGTGATATTCATGAGATACATACAAATTTTACTCTTACTCAAAATCAAATCTAGGAATGATCTACAAATTTTACACTAGTATTTGCTCTTGCCCGAATTGTATGTAGCTCGTAGTTAACCAATTAAAGTGTTATTATATTATGCATTACTTATGCCTAGATGAAGAATTTAAAATTCAAATTTACTTATCCAAACTTAAAAGCCAACGTTTTGCCTAAATATGTAGATGCCGTATTTGGGAGTACTCAAATAAATCCAATGTAGATGCCAATAAATGATATACGCCAAATTGCCCTCTTATGACTAATCATAATATTACAAATTTTACCATTTTAAAGATATTAAATATATACAAAAATGTTTTAATCTTAAACATGAACATGTGTTTATATTAATGTTTTTGCTATCTTATTTAAGTTCAGCGCTTTGATTAGAATTATGTAGCTGCTTTCACAAATTCCAGGTTGATTTTGGAACCCAAAGAAGTAATTTATTTACCGTTACGTTTATGGGTTCGGAAAACCCAAATATGTTTTACATTTCGGAAATGTAGCAT